TTTCAATAGCATCATAAGCTTTGCCAAAAGTTCTAGAGGTTTTAATTCTTGAGTTTTTAATATTACGGTAGCACATTGGGCCTATAGGCCTAAGTGGGTCCCCTTAGGATCGTCGGTATAACCTGAAGTAACCTATATTAGAAGTATATTATATATATATTAAAAGAGGTTATGCTATAACTAATTACTGGTTGATAAACTAGTCTTAGGTGAGTTTATTTATTTATTCGTCACACTACTTTAAGTAAATTGAATAAATAATCAATTTATACCATCATATAATATGAAAAAATGAAATTAATTAATTTTTTATTTGCATCCCAGTCATAAGATCAAGGTTGCCTAATAAAAATTATAATTTATCAATTTATACTATTCCATCCAAAAGTCCTCCGTGGTAAAGGTTGAGTTCCTATTCTGATATCTAGCTTGCTCGAGATGTGTGCGTATCCGCTGTTTTTCAGTCATAATACTAAAGCATTAAATCGGCTCTTCATTATTCTCATTTTTACTGGCTGTATATTATGTCATAGTTATATATTATCGTTATTATAATTATATCAAAATAATATATTGAAGTATATTGAACTAATTACCATAAAATTTTAGCCTCTAACTGCATCCATAATCTTTTTAGTTGTGGTACTTCGCCTCTTGTAGTTATAAAGGTTCTGCAGTTTCTTGTCAAAATCCATAGTTAGATTCGACTAATATTCCGTGTTTTGATAGATCGTATTCATGTCCTTCAATGATGTGTTAAAAAATAAATGTAAATCCATTGGTCTATTAAATTGCATCCAAGCCACACATTTTTTTTTTTTTTGATACTCCTTTTAGGTAACCATTATATTAGCCAGTTATGTGTGTATAAAGAAGCTGCACATCAAACTCAGCCCACACCTGCAGTAGTTATCTTTTAATTTTAATAGTTTTTCCTTATAATAAATTCCTAAATCAACACAATCTCCAGCAAAGTTTGCACAAACTTCCATAATAGTTTCGAAATATGCTGCAAATCCTCTAGTGTGGCGATTAAAAACACCATGATGCAACTGTTGTAAAAGACCCGGATGCATGGTATTGAATACCAAACCAGTAGCATGTATCTTAGCCATATTCTCCAGACACAATTTCGCTACTTCCTCATCAATGCCATTCAAACGTGCTGCTGAAGTATAACCCAATTCTGCGAGGTCTTCGAATATTATGGCCCTATGTTCATAGTCCACGAAAATGGCTGTTGGAAAAAGTTTCTCTTGCTCATCAATCAATTTTATTAATTCATTAAGTATTGGCAATATTTTATCATACATCAGCATTTCCGTTGCTTCAGCTTGATATGGTTCCAATATTAGTGTTACGGCGACATCGTGTTCTAACTTGGATTTCACAATAAAGGGTTCGCTTTTTGAGGCTTTATTATTTGATTTATACTCCACAATAACACGTATAATCACACTTATGAAATTTTCCCCTTTCCCTGTTGCTACACTTGATTCCATTTTTGTGACAGTCAAAGATGTATCTTTTTTGTAATTTCGCAACACATTCTGGAAGTAGGCATTGGTCAACCAAGTTGGTATTAACTTGCAATCTTCCATATTGACGTCATTTGAATACACGGTTTTTGGCTTTGCTTAGAAGATACAAAAGAATCCGTTTAGCGAATCTTTATATTTTGGAAATTATAATGATACTGTTTTATTTTTAATTGTATTATTTGTTATATTTAAGCAGACTTTTACTGCAGACTTATCACCAATGCAATATTAGTTTTGAGATTACTTATCTCATTTCATAGAGCCAAATGTCTAGTAATTTTATTTTGCTTTAATTGTTGTTAATCACAGGTTTTGAATTTTAAAATATTTACTTTTCTGGGGGAGCTTGATTTTTTTTTTCTCCTCGGTAAAAAAATATTATTTCTGTTATTATTTATTAAACTGAAAGTAGTTAAAAAATAGATTATTTGTTTAGTCTCAAACGAGATGCTAAATCAGAGACCAAGTAAGACCAAAAGACCTGAAAGTAGTTAAAAAATAGATTATTTGTTTAGTCTCAAACGAGATGCCAAATCAGAGACCAAGCAAGACTAAGAGACCTGAAAGTAGTTAAAAAATAGATTATTTCTTTAGTCTCAAACGAGATGCCAAATCAGAGACCAAGTAAGACCAAGAGGCCTGAAAGTAGTTAAAAAATAGCTTATTTGTTTAGTCTCAAACGAGATGCCAAATCAGAGACCAAGTAAGACTAAGAGACCTGAAAGTAGTTAAAAAATAGATTATTTCTTTAGTCTCAAACGAGATGCCAAATCAGAGACCAAGTAAGACTAAGAGACCTGAAAGTAGTTAAAAAATAGATTATTCGTTTAGTCTCAAACGAGATGTCAAATCAGAGACAAAGTATTTATCTTTCAATACTGAAGTTTTTTTATTTTCAAGTCTAAATTAAGGCTTAACTTAAAGCTGATGCAACGTAAACAAAAGTCAGCTGATGAGATTTTGTTTTTGTGGGAAACTCTATAATCAATTACGTATTCATTAACGTAATGCCTACGCAAACGTAAGCATTTCAGCTGATACAGAAATTTGTTAATATTAATTTATTTACTTAATTTAATAGACCTCCTCCTCACCTTTTTTGATGGCCATATTATTTTAAATAATAATAATTACGTTTGAGCTCCGCTTACTTTATTTCGAGCCTTAATCAGAAGAATTCTTAATATTAAAAACATCTAAGCAAATTATAAACTATTTATACTTATTACAGATCTTATATTTATTTTGAATTAGTAGAGTTATTGTTGTTATTGTCCTTGAGAGCACGGTTCCCACTTATGGTACTTTAGTACCAAAATTGGTACTTTTTCTTTCGTTTGGTACTCATGTTCAAAAAATGGTACATTTTTGACGACCCAACTTTATTGTGGATATATCCAATTAATTTTTTTTATAAATGCAACTTTACACTATTTTATATTTTGTTCATTTATAACACTATGAAAAACACAGAACGAAAAAACAAAAAGGTCCAAAAAAATTTTGGACCTTTTTTTACAGAAATGGTACCTTTTTAAACCAATTTTGGTACAGGAAAAAATTTTCAAGTGGCAACTGTGCTTGAGAGTGATAGGTGAAAATGGTAACGCGATGGGTCTGGATTTTGTTCTTTTGTTTTTTAGGGCTCGATTAGTTCGGTGAATTGCTACGTCGGTTGGGTTTGGGCTTGTTTTTAGAATGTATTTTAAAAGCCATGATGACACGTTGCCTTTATTGCCGTTGAGTAAAGGTGTGACCTGATGTTTGTGTATTCCGATGCTCTCTGCCGTTTCTAATTTCCAGCTATAGCTTATGTTTTTGATTATTTGGATGTTATCTCTGTCGATGTGATTTTCTGTTATATGTCTGGTGAAATCTGATTTTATATAAGGGTTTTTCCTTGCTTCTCTTGCTTATTTAAGGTGTTCTTTAAGTCTTGCTGATAAGGGTGTTTTTGTTTGTCCGATGTATATTTTGTTGCGGGAACTGCAGTTGATCTTTTATACTTCTTCTTTTTCTAAGGAATCAATTGGACCTTTTGTGGATAGTAGTAGATTTTCGAGTTGATATGGCTTACTGGAGTAAACTAAGTTGATATTGAATATTTTTTAATTGATTTTTCATAAGACCTTTGGAGATGATGTTGTTGTACAGTACAGCGACTTTTCTTTGTTTTGGTTTTTCTGCTGTTAATGTCGTCATGTTTCTGCAATGATATTGCCTGTATTTCTTCTGTATGATTCTGTCGATAGTGTTCTGGGCGTATCCGTTAATCTTCGCTATTTTTTTAATGTGTTTATGGTTTCTTCATGGATAGCTGCTTGTGTGAGGGATAATTTTAGTATTCTACTTATCATGCCAGCCTTCCACCACATGATGGAGTGGCTATATAAAATAAAATTGGGTTCTATATATTTATTAATAAATGGCAAAAGGCAAAAAAAAATGTTAATGAAACTTAAAAAATTTAAACTAATTTCAAATCATTACAAACAGATTTTACTGTCAAGTAATCAAATAATTGAAATTTGATATAATAAATATTTAGTTCCGACAAAAGTAAAGCTCACTTTTTTGTATCTATTCATGGTAGGTGATGTAATGATAGTGTGGAGAGATGAGGGCATTTAAGGTAATTTTTTTGTATATAGACCGAAATATCGGCGTAGTATATGTTATTGGCCATCATTATTTCGAATAATGATCCATGATTAGTAAAAATATTTAAATAGGAGTTCTATATCTAGACGTACCCGATAGGCATTTGAACATAGTGGGAACTGCTATTAAATTAAGGGTCATTACAGTTCTCGACTTTTCTAAATAGTGCAGTAACTTTTATCTCCTTAACTATTTGAGTAAATTTTTATAAAAATTTTTGCGGTAATAACTTTTACCTTATAGTACATGTAAACCTTTTCAATGGCTGGTACTGATTACTAGCTTACCATGTGCAAGGATATTAAAATGGGCTTAATATCTATTCATCGTTTTTATAATTCTTCAGTATTTCTGATCGAGAAGATTGCAAGTAATTGAAGTTTCCACAGAATGTTGGCTAATGCTGAACTACTAAAAAGAAATAAACTTCAGAAACTTTCTTAAAAAGTGATTTAATAGATAGATATTTTAAAACAATATATGTATATATATATATATATATATATATATATATATATATA